TTGGCCATGTTTCAGAGCCATAGAGAAGGACGGAGTGAACTGCTGAGCAGTACACACGTCCCTTGGTTGATAGTCGGATGTCACGCCTACGCCAGAGACGGTGTAAGTTAACGAAAAGCAGCTCGAGCTTTTTGGATCCGTGCTGAGATTTCGTCACCAATCAATCCGATGGTGCTGATACAACTTCCCAAATAGGTGAAGTGGTCAACATGTTCTATCACTTCACTTCCTATCACTAAGCTAGCAGTTAACGTAGTCCAGTCCTGTAGCAGCATGTTGTATTTTACAGGGGCGAATCGCATGCCAAACATACGAAGATTGCTGCTCAAGGTATTCAGAAGACTCTGCATTTTGTCAGCATCCTCCCCTAACAGGACTATGTCATCTGCATATTCTAAGTCCATAAGACTATTCCCTGGTAACAAGTCGATTCCTAAGTCGTTAAGTTCAGTTAAGGATACTTCCATTAGCATATTTATGATGAAGTTAAACAGAAAGGGGGAAAGTGGACATCCTTGACGGACACCACTGGTTGTTAACAATTCAGATGACAATTCCCCATAAGTCCTTACACGGCTACGTGAGTTTGAGTAGAGTGCCTTGATTAGTGCAATGTACTTTCTTGGCACTCCTTTTACAATCATACATTGCCATAGTACCTTTCGATCCACGGAGTCGAAGGCCGCCTTCAAGTCAAGAAATATGGCAATTGTTGGACGCCTAAAAGTGTGTCTATGTTCTAGGATCTGCCGGAGAGTGAAGATATGATCTATGCACCCTCTACCTGGCCTAAAGTCTGCTTGATTTTCCCTCGTTTGTTCCTTCCGAGTTCTGCTTAATCTGTGCATGATTACTGAGCCTAGGATTTTAGAGACTATCTTCGTCAGGCTGATCCTCCTATGATTATCACATGAGGACTTGTCTCCCTTCTTGAATATTGGTATAATAAGTGACTTACCCCAGTCTGATGGAATCGTCTCTGATTCCCAGACGTTACCTAGTACCTTACTTAAACTACATACTAGTATGTCACCCCATATTTAAACACCTCCGGAATAATTCCGTCGGGTCCTGCCACTTTGTCTCGTTTCAAATTACAGATAGCTTTCGTGACCTCACTTACAGACGGCGGGCCAGTGTCTATATCCCATTCGGGTGTGTGCTGGAAGGCGGGGTGGGGGTTCAGTGTGGCTGTAGGCAAGTTAAATTGTTCCTCAAAGTGTTCTTTCCAGCGTTCAAGGCATCTATCCTGAGAACTAATAAAGGAGCCATTTTTCTCAGAAATAGTCTCACTTATGATTTGCCTTCTCCCACCCGTTTCCCTGATGAGTCTAAAGAGTTGCCTATCGCCGATGCTTTTTCCATCTCTTTCGCCTTTGTCATCCACCACTGTTCACGGTCCTTGCGGAGACTTTTCGTAAGTTTCCTTTTGTGCAGCTTTCGCTCCTCATTGAATTCGGAGCTCGCCGGAATAAGTCTTCTAGCATCTATCAGTTCCAATGAAGCAGTCGAAATCCAATGGTTTTTACTCACCTTTGAATTTATTTTATTCACAGCTTTTACAGCTGTATCTATAGCTGACTGAATATTCTTCCAGGCTTTTTCAGGGTGAGCGCAGTTGTCGAACTCAGATATGTGTTTAGCTAGTTTTTCCTCAAATAGGGACTTAGTTTCTGATCGAGCTGGGGATGTGATGGGTTTACCGCTAGCTGTTTCCTACGTCCGTTCAGTCGTAAGCACACACGAGTGCGGACCAGTGCGTGATCGGTATCTACACACGTGTTCCAGAAGGAGCGACAGTCTCCTACCGACCCACGCCAACGATAGCTTATTGCTATGTGGTCTATCTGTGTCCAGCGTTGGTTTGATGATGGGAGTAGCCAGGTCAAACAGTGTCTCTCCTTGTGTTTGAAGTTAGTGCCCACAAGAAACAAATGATTATCTGAACAGAACTGTAGGAGACGGTCACCGTTGTCGGTTCGCTGGCACGGAATTCCGTATGTGCCACCGACATTCTTCTCAGATTGACACAATTTCCCTACTTGAGCATTAAAGTCACCAGCTAGAACGACTATATCTGAGCGTTTAGCCTTTCGCAGCAAACTAGACAGCTTTTGGTAGAACTCATCCTTCGTTTCATCCGAGCTACAGTCAGTGGGGGCGTAGGTGGAGATTACGAAGAGGCATCGGCGAATAGTGCAGTACTTTCTCCTTTTCACTGATCTGTTCAGACGGACAGCACACATTTGGCTATCTACCGGGATCCAGTCAAGTAATGTCTTTTCTGTCCTAGTACTCAAAGCTATCCCAACACCAGCTAATCCTCGTGAGCTAGCTGTGGCATCTCCTGACACCCTCAAGGTGAATTTTGCAGATTCATCCTGTTGGCCAGATGGGGTTAGGTGAATAACCACACTTGGGTCTTGTATGCGTGCTTCTGAAGCACAACATACATCAATGGCTCGGGATGCCAGAGTCTTGGCTAGTGATGCTTGTTGTCCTGTTTGGCAGTGTCCTAACATTGAATGCTCCTATATGAAATTGGTGGCGTGGCTTTAGGAGACTATCGGTAGTGGTTTTTTGGCTTCCGTCGTTATTTGTGGACACAGAGTGAAGAGGAAGTGAAGAGCCATCAAGTAGAGGAGTTGCATTAGTAGAGGGAAGGCAAGATAATAGAGATGAAGATGAAGACAAAGATGAGTGAGGATTAGAGAGGTTTTGCGTGCACTTCGGATTGTGAGGGCGATTGTTACTTCCTGGCTGCCCACACCGTAGAAGTTGGTTGCATGACCGCAGAGCCCAGGGGACAACTGCTTGAGGCCGGTCACGCACGGCCTGTTTTTGTTTGTTATTTTTTATTTGGTGTGTCTCAGTAGCAGATTTATCACTCCTGCCCTGTAATACGGCAGCAGGAAGCGCGGTCGTTGTTAATCCGGGCCCCGACCGATCCGGCATGATATTTTGTGATTTTGTTTAGTCATGGCATTGGATTGGGTAGCTGCTTTTTGTCTAACCGCTATCCAAACAACCTTTTTGGCATGGTAGGACCTACAGGAACATAAGTTCCAGCCAGTGTAGCTCGTTGGGTCATTGCAATATGCAAGCCCGACCACCACTTCAAGGTAGCAGCTTTCGGTCGGGGATGACTTCATTAGCTGCATATTAAAGATGAGAAGGCGTCGGTGGCACCGTGGTTAGGACTCTCGCCGACCATGCACATGGTCCGGGGTTCGATCCCCTGCCGGCGCACACCCGATATCTATGGTCGGCCTGCAAAATTGGGCTACCGATATCACATGCTGAAAATTCCATACTTGTACCAAAAATACGGTGTGGAATCAAGCTATAATAAATAAATAAAATAAAAAATAAAAAAATTAAAAAAATAGTCAGAAAGAATTAGGAGCAAGTAACTCTGGGAATGAACCAACCAAGAACCTATTGTCCAATAAATATTCCGAGGAAAATGAAGATGGATAAGATACGCTGAAATCATGAACTTATATGTCACGCCAGGCCATCGGTCGAGTGGAATCCGAATGGGAAAACATAAGTTTGACGTCAATTTGAGGGTGACATGGAGGATATAGTTTGATGTGGAGGAAATGAAAGCTTACAGGCAATCGTAAAACCAGCCAGCTGAAGCGAACTGCAGAGAATCGGACAAAATGAAAATGGCACTGCTGAAGCCCTATACTGCACTCGAAATAGAAGGAAATAGTAATAATTCTTTTTCCACTGCATACTTCTGCTCATTATATAAATAATTCTTTTGACTTCCGATTTTTTTGTCTCTATACTCTCCACGTTTTCGTCTCACATGGATGGATTCTAGCAACTGCTGAGTGCTCCGTTGAAACTTAGATTCAGGTTTGTATCACCTTCATGTTTTAAGTCTTTTAAAGACCGATTTATGAAGAAAGAATGTGATTCTTTACGATAAATTTCTTGTCAGGTTTTACATTTATATGACGATGATAATTAAAGAAGTATTGATATTAACAACACTATTGCTGTTTTAAATTACGTTGAAACAATATTTTCGATGGATTACATTTCAAAAGCATCACTAAGAGAGAGAGAGATAATATGCATTCATATAACACAAACTGATTGAATATGTGGGATAAATTGAGCGAATTGTGAGTCGGTGGCACAAAAGTAGAGTGCTCACCAACCACGCAGGTTCAGGGTTCTATCCTCGGCCGATGCACTTCTTTACCTCACTAAGCCAGCCATAAGACTGGTAAAGACGGAAGGTTGGGCATGGGGCTAGCGACCCCATCCCGTAAAAATAAACACCACTGCCACCGAAACTTCAAGCCTCTAGTTTGAAGCCTTATGCTCCACTGGGAACGTAAAAGGAACAAAAAAGCGAAGTAATACAGAATTTATGAATTTATAGGCTCTACAGAGGGTCAGGGGAGCAATAGTGACTAAATCTTTTTTTGCACACACAGAGTCCAGATTGTTTTTGGCGAAATACAGTGGCCTCTGCTGTTTCGCGGAGTATTCGGTACCTAGAGTCCTTTGGTAGTTTATTTGATACCCGGTTGGTGATCAAGAAAGATTCTCCAATGCCAGCTTGACCCGTTTAGAGAAGAGGTAGTCAAATATGGAACTGTTAACAGCTTTAACAAAACCTTAATTTAACCACACTTTTGGGTGTTCCCGAGCATGAAAAATTAGGTTCCTAGTGTGCAACGGCCAATATAACTGCTTCCAGAGCCAGGAGCAGTGGAATTAGTAGATACAAGAAAAGAGGTGTTTGGCCTAAGCACTTCATTCCTTCATTTGCTGAATCGCAATTAGTTGTGTGAAAAAGCTGCAAGGTGCAGGTTACCGCCCGACATTAAACGTTCTTTGGACCGATTTTGGTTCATTATTCTGTCTTATAAATTTTTTATGAGCATTTTCAATGAATTAAAAGTTTTGTCTTTGTTTAGATAAGCAACTGATGTAATTATTATTGTTATTATTATTGAAGGGGGTGGGGTGAAATGGATGCAGTAGTTGCTCTATGTCATTTCTGTGAACAACATGGTCCATCAGTTGTTATGTGTACTCAACCCTTTAGGCAAACACAACAATCAAAGTTATCAGTGATCAGTTCACAAAGTGGTGGTGGTGGTGCTGTATTCACTGATCCCCAATCTGTGGATATTAATTCATATCAAAGAAATTTACCGAATTTAATGTTTCAAAATCATACGAGTGGCGCTGATACAATCCCAACGGGGTCATCAGATGTCTCAGCTATCATCTTGCCTTCACCTAGTATGTTAGGTATTTTTGTTGTTGTTAATTTTTCATAACATTTGATATGTATATTATATTATTATTGTTCCTTTGGGTTCCGAGTGGAACAAAGGGCTCCGACGGGAGCACATCTCCACTTTTTCCTATTCTCTGCGATCCCATTCAGTTGTCCCCATGACTGCTCGTAGTCTCTCATATCCTCCTCCCTAAACAGTCTCCTCATTGACATACTCGGACAAACGCCCAAGTCGTCGTTCCCCATTCTGGTATCACTCGAGAGTCTGCCTTGTGTGCGATGTCACTCAAAGATCTCCTCAGTTTGTATCCAACCCACCCATCTCCATTTGTTGGGCAATAGGTTCTTGGTTGGTTCGTCCACAGAGTTCCTTGTCGCTATTTTTTTCTGACCGATCACCTGATGTTGAGTATGAAACGAAGACAGCTGTTGATAAAAGTCTGCAGCTGCCTTCCGGAAATGCTATTCGTGAAGCATTGGGAAAGTTTCTGTCTCATATAGAACTGACTGAGTCAACATTGGCGTTGAAAATCCGAGTCGTGTGTATGCTTTTTGAATATTTCATCAGCAGACAGTTAATCAATCAATCCATTGAACGATCCTACAACTTCCCAAAACTAGTGAAGTGGTCAACACACACTCAGTGTTAAGCTCGAAATTGTTGTAGACCAATCCTGCAACCTTGTGCTACATTTGGGAGGGAGAAGGCGGACCTCGCATCAAAAAACACTGCATTTCCGTTAATGTCTTCCTTGCAACAAAATAAACAAAAAGCCATTAATTTATCCAACAAATATCTCGAAGAAAATGGACATGGATTAAAGACACCTTGAGGAGAATGTTAAGTGTAATTGCGTACCAGACCATCTAGTTGAACTTGGATAGAAAATGAAGAGTTGGACACCGCCTCGAGGTTAATATAGAGCACGTTGTGTGAGGTGCAGAAAATGAGAGATTATGGACAAACGCAGAATCAGCTAACTGAATGACTGACCTAGTTCCAGCACAAAACTTTGCACATAGGCGCAGCATTTCGAGTAGCCATACGATATGCTACACAGGCAAACAAAAAAAAACAAAAAGGATTCAAAAAGACTACTACAAGCAAAAGTATGATGGGAGAAGAACAGTGATACCCAAAAACTAGGAATTTCCGGAATATCATAAATCTCGAAAAGTGAATGCATCTGACAACGATGTTGAGTCGTATCATTTTGTCAGCGTCTACACCTCGAAGGACTGTACCATTTGCATACTTTAAGTTAATGAGATTATTCCCTAGTAACAAGTCAATCGCTGAGTCGTTGAAGTCAGTTACAGTTAATTCCATTAGTTCGTCTATGTTGAAATTAAAGAGAAATGGAGATAGTAGTGGATATCCCTGACGGACAGCAGTTAGTTTTCATCATAAGTCACTTCAGTTGACAACTCTCCGTAAGCTTTTACATGGCTGCATCATGTCGGGTAGAGTGCCTTGATCAGCGCGATGCACTTTCTCCAGTATTCCCTTCTTCGCGGCCAAAAATTGCCATAGTGGTCAGCTAGTTTAAGACCAGTTAACGACGACTCCAATAACTTGGAAGAATTATTTATACAGGTATTTTTTCTTCAATTTTTGGTTTAAAAAAGAACAGTGTTAGAGAAATATAACCTGTCTTTCTCCTGAAATGTTTTTCTAATCTTGTTTCTACCTTCTTCCATTTTAAAATATTTTTGATCTGCTAGCCTCGAGATTTTCAGTAACAACAGCACCAAGTGGAAGCGTGTCATCGCATTCTTCTTCCCTTCAACAACAACAGTCCTCGCAACATCCAACTTGTAAAGCATGCTCTTCTGTTATGTTACGTGATGAACCAGGGATAATAAGTCATGATCAGGCGGCGAATACTTCATACATTTCCACGCAGTTCATCAAAGATGCTGATTTGAATACGTATGTGCGTAACGCCTGTTTACGAAGCCTTTCTTGCGAGGTGGGTTGTGAGTAATCTATAATCCTGTTTTGTTTTTCTGCTTTTGGTGTATGTGCGTGTGTGGAATGCGTTATTTTTTGTAATATTTTCGTAATTTAAATTAAATATTAGGCATTCGATTGGTTACAGGTTTGACCATGAACTGACACCAATTAGAGAACTAATGGAAAACCACCAGAAACAGTGAACAGTCCTGGGTACTTAGCTAACTAGGTGTTTTCTCTACTAAGTGTCGGAACTCACTGTTCAGCAGTACATACCCAAAGGCAGGGTCCACCAAATCAGGTTACAGAACCGTTACTTGCATTTTGTAGCGATCAAAACAGTCTGCTTGGCGGTATCCATGAAGGATACCCACCACTATCTCCATTTCTCTTTAATTTCAACATAGACGAACTAATGGAATTAACTGTAACTGACTTCAACGACTCAGCGATTGACTTGTTACTAGGGAATAATCTCATTAACTTAAAGTATGCAGATGGTACAGTCCTTCGAGGTGTAGACGCTGACAAAATGCAGTCTTTTGCACACCTTGAGCAACAATATGAATGTTTGGCATGTGATTCGCTCCTGTCAAATGTAACACGATGCTACAGGACTGGGCTACATCGAGCCCTAGTTGGCCTGAAGATAGGAAGTGAAGTCGGAGAGCGTGTTTACTACCACTTCAGTTATTTGAGGAGTTGCATCAGCACCAGAGTGTTGACAGCTGAATAAATCTCAGCAGGTATAGAGAAGGCTTGTTTGGCATTCGCCAAATTACACCACCTCTGACGTAGACGTGATATCTGGTTGGGTGCCGACCAAAGAATGTCTGTACTGAACAGAAGTAGCAGTTCGCTCCATTTTTATTTGTGGCTGGCTGTGAGCGAAACATGGCTATTGAAAGTGAAAGATATGTGAAGACTGGCTAGCCGTCTTTGATCATAGGTGTCTCCATTCTATCTCCCTTGTTAGGTGGCAGGTTTAATAGGGTGAGTTATATTGAGGTTAGGCATTTGTGGAGTGTTAGGTAGGTGGGAGGGGAAATCAATCGATCAGATTGGGAAGCAGCTGCATCGATTAAGATGGCTAGGACATGTGCTATGCATGCTAGCCTGGCCATAGCTTTCCTCGACGACCAATGTTAGCTGACATAGGATCAATGAGGTTGGAGAAGAGCTAGTAGTGGTCAAACCAAAACACGGAATCAATCCACGAAATCTTTGACAGTTAGTTTGAGCTAGCCATGTAGGACAACATCGACTGCCTGACTAGTTGAGATCCTCGGTAAGGTATGAACCAATGGAAGCTGTGCATATTTAGTACTGTGGCTGGCTGAAGATGGTCGTTCTTAATCTCTGACTGGGATACATTCTCTTTTTGTAATCTGTGACATCGAATAAAACTGCATTGCTATTCCATACTAGTATTGATTTCGCTTTAAATTTCTGTTCATTTGTGCTCTTTTGAACCTCTGATTAATCCCATTTCTTGTTTTGTGGGGTTTATGGAGGTGGAGGTTGGTGGTGGCAACTCGAACTGGTATACATCTGTGCAAATAAGTGTATTGAAACCAGTCGACGAGTCTCGTTGAGATCTTAACTCAGGGGGCTGGTCCCTGCGTCTTATTTTACAGCAGCCATGCGACACTTGCTTGAGACGCTCACGATGAGAAATCGCTTCAAAGACAAATGCAGAAAGATTATTATTCATGAATAAATTTACAACTCTGTCAAATAATAATAACGGCAAAACCACAAAATTACGTTAACAGTACCGTTAGGCAGCTATAATGTCAATGTAAGTTGCTAAGTACAAAATGAGTAATTAGACTGAAGTAGGATACTCCCAAGAACGTAGTTGGGTCAAAATCCCTGTCTAGAGGAATCGCACACCAGGAGATCTCATTGAAACGGATCAAGGTAGGAAATTCCTTGATTCTCTCAAACAAAGTCACATCGTAAGACAACACATTGTCATCATCGTAGCACAACCGCAAATAGAAGCATCAGTGTTAGAGATTAAACAGTAACGAAGGCGAATAATGACGATTAAGTCAACATGTGAGATGCAAACGGCAGATGAATGATATATACAGTCTGGGTGGAAAACGGATAATTATTACAAAATTAGTTGAAACATCCAAATAAGTTGCATAAATATTGAAGTTAGACCATTCAGGAGTGATTTTCCAAGCAATCTTTCCGTTACACCTATGACATTGGTTAGCGGCTGCGTTAAATATATCGGGAATTAGTAGGAGTTGGAACTTATGGGCTGTCCATTGAGTCGGGTTGCATGTGCGCTTACCTTGTTATCGGAAGGTGCTAGGTGGTTGAGACGCGGGTGGTGTGTGTGCTTAATACCGATATGTCGTTAAACAGGAAAAAACAGCTGTTCAGTAGTCCAATCCTGGTTTTCTACGCTACTCTAACTGATATCAATCCTTGGTGAAAATTGAAACAAATCAGTTCCCCCCTACAAACTAAATCTTGAAAATTAACGTGATGCTCACTGGTTTCCGACTGACTACACGAGGAAGTAGACTGGAGTGTTCTAGTGAGAAGTCGTGACCAGTTTGGGGGTGCACCACGTCATTCGGGAGTGAGGATATGTACTCGCCGCTTATGAAATTGGCTAACGCCGGTCGTGTTAAAATCACAAATTGGTAGAAGTTGGAATCCATGCGTAAAACACTGAGTTGGGTTCCAGTGAGTGAGTGGTGTTTGAGCTCACTTTGTACCCGGATCCTGGGTTCGGTTGCCAGTAGGTGTGTACTATGAAGAAGAGTTCCAAACTTAGGACTGAATAAAACAGCTGTCTGGCACTACTCCCTTTGGCTGGCTAGTTTCCTAATGGTCCTCCAACAGATATCAGCTCTCATTTAATCGTGTCACCAATATATTTGTATATTCTACATTATTTAAAAGTGAATTTATTTCTATGTTTATTTTGGTTTAAACAATGGTGCTTGATAAGAAATCTGAACATACATGGATGACTCACTTGATGTTTAGGAAACCTTAAAAGTTGTAAATTTGTGTGTAAGTACACGGGCCTGGTTTAGATAACGTTTCTAAAAATGGCAGTAACAATAATAATGATAATAATAAAGTTTCACGTAAGCAAATGCTGAAAAGCAGATGTATTGATTTATGACGTCTTTAGTGAATTTCAAAAATACATTGGGATTACCGTAAACAAAGAATATTCCATTTTCGATAACTCCCTTGTCTTCATGAGATTCTAACTGACTGACAGACTGAGTTTCAACATAGAACTTTGCTAAGAAGTACAGCAGCTCTTCAAATTGCCACAGTGTAGCCATTTTGGCGACAACCTTATCCTATTCCGTGCAGCCATAGTATATTTTGGCATGGAACAGAACATAATTTAGGTAAATTCTCATCATACACATGATGAAATATTCACCATAGAAATTTGAATTGATGTGGTTTATGAAGTATATTGTCAGTGGTGAATTAATGGATAACAATCAAGGTTATCATAATAATAATAAGGATAAATTCATTCAAGTGTTTATATGATCTAGGCAACGGTGAGTGTATAGTTAGAATGTGCATACTATTAGGGCTAGAGAGAGAAATAACCATTGTCACATAGCAATTAGATAATATAATATTAAATTGTCAAACCGAGAATAAAATGTACAACAACAGCACAGCATGATATTAATAATACAGTTGGCATTGCAAATAAAATTAAATAAATAAATTAAAAACCCGGTATCACCAGCAGGGAACTATTTTAGGTTGGGGGCGAAGGCCAAGGGAGGGAGAGAGATTCTACAAAATTTTTCTGAACAGAGAAATTAGGTTGGAAAAATGGCAACTGCCCCAACTATGCTTAGTAACCGAAGACGTACCGACCTAAGAAGTTGCGGTGGGACCTTGTATAGAATTGTAAAAGCTGAATTTTTATCATTCATGTGCTCCGTATCCATTATGTGTGCCAATTTGGAACTTCTGACCGACTTTGAAACTCATTTACCTAATGACGCTGGATGACTCTGAACAAGACGACGGTGGGCCTGCTCAGTCGTTCTAATCCCTGTAGCTGTGTCCACATAAACAGTCAAACATGTAAATGCACGTTGAAGTGGCCGGACTTGGTAGTCTGTCCTTTGCCTGCGTCGAAGTTATAGAACAAGTGGCGAATTTTAAACACAGTGTTGCTGCAAAGAATGTTTTGGCTATTATTTTTCGAAGTTTCGATACTAGCTAATCGGTTGCTGCGTCTTCTTTAAAAGTCATGTATATACGTTTCTTCTGCCCAGTTTGTAGACATTTGCTTCTATCTGTTCTCCTCAACGTGGACTTTAGCAGTTTTGTCGAGGCATCCGTTCTCACATGATAAATTTTCTATTTTCCTTCTTTCATTGTCTAGAGTGTCAGTTGTGCAGATTTTTCTAGCACAATACATCAGGATACTGATAAGATTTCGTTTGTGTGCAAGAGGAACAAACGACTTGAAACGCGTGTATTGGCCGACTTATGTATTCTTCCAGAAAATACCCCGTTTAATACTGCCATCTTGCCTCCTTGTTAGCAGGATATCGAGAAATAATAAGGTGTTGTCTTTCTCCTTTTCATATGTGAACTCGATTTGTGAGCCCTACTGAACGTTTGGAGAAGGATCTCGGCATCGATTTTATTATCGTGCAAGTCAAAAGTATCGCCGTAAATCTACAATAGAAGGAGAGTTCGTTGATTACATTTTTGAGTGTATTATTCTCTAATTTTGCCATAGACATGTCGGCTTAAAGAGGACCCAGAGAGGGAGCCCATTGCTACGCCCTTCACTTGTGGATAAAATTCGTTGTTGTACTGAAAGCGCACATCGGAATAGCGGTTCCCGTAGTGTTTTAGGTGTTACCCCTACGTCCATATCATTTTCTATGAGTGATTCACAGATGAAGTCGATGGTGTCTAATAAAGGGACATTCGTGAACAGGGAGGTGAAATCCATAGAGATGATTGTTTCATCATGGATCTCCTTCAACCTATACTTATCCACTTTTAGCTGCACTGGTTTAAATATGTCTGCCAGCCATCTTGCTGTTTCATGGTATCTTGAGTTAAACATATCTAATATAGGTCTCACAGGCATGTTGGGTTTATGAATTTCAGGTAGCCCATACATTCTAGGTATATTTGTTCCTAAAGGCCCAAGACGTTCGAGAATTTTGAGAGACATTATTTGGTTGGATACCAGTACCTTGAAAAATTCTTTTTCAACTTTCTGTACATCATGTTTGGAGTTAGCAAGTTTTTGAAATTTTGTAGTGTCCTGAAAAATGCCACTGATCTTATTAGTGTAGTCGGCTTTATCTAGGAAACGGTCCCAGCCCCCTTATCGAATCTCGTTGTAATAATACTCTCATCTGATCGGATTCTCTTTAAGGCTTCAATATTAGCCTTGCTGAGGGTACTTTTATCAATACATCTTCTTGATGTATATTGGTAGCAGTTTTCAACAAGAGAGAACTTTAGTTCTTCTAGCTGCAATTGAGATAGTGAAATTAAGTCATATGTTTGACTAAAAAGTTTTTCAAACCGTGATTCAGTTTATAATCTTATTGGATGGTTTACAACATCACAAAACCTTGAACCTGATGACAACACTTCTAGTTCGAGCTGAGTGGGAGAAACACTGGAAAAGCTATGAAAATACCCTTCCGGATGTGTTGGAAATATACTTTGTGGTGATTTTTTGTCGAATGTTTTCATTAGATGGACATTGAGTTTTTACATAAGTTTATCAGTAACTTTCTTGATGTATTTCACAAAACTTACACAGTAGATCATATTGTAAACTGTCAACTGCAATTTGATATTTCGATAAATATCTATCAAAGTCAAAATATTTGCTCTCAATGCTGTCAGTCGAGTCAGTTTGATGTAAGTCAAAGCGTTTCAGAGTCCTTGCATTCAGTCTTACTTGTGGACTCCTTAGCGATTTCCAAAATAATCCCCGATAACGACTTAATTCCATGCATAATTTAATAAATTGAATAGATATGTAACGACAGAAGGCAAGAGTCAGGCAACAGATTGTTTATTATGGAAATCAACACATATTTATAGATTTTCATGTACATTATTATAGATTATTGTTAGCAGACAAACACAGTCTTCTGATTGGTTGTTTCTCACTAAAAGTTAATCTTTCATCTCTTTGTGAGTGTCTCTTGAATGTCAGATCATCTATCTGCTCATTGTATCCGCCTACGCACAGTCTGCTATCAGTCTTTGATCTTGTTTTCATATGACTAATATTTGGGACATAAACATTGACGTAAATTACTGTCTACCAATCTGGCTAGCGGCCAGCTCTCACCACAGATACATTTCCTTTAGTGAGCCTATCGCTAAACTTCAAGAATTCACTGAGTTCTTTCAATGTTACCAGGATACTCGCAGGTTTTCAATAATTTAACTCTTCTCATAATGATAATGACATAATATTTTGTTCTGTAATCGTGTAAAGCCTGACGAGAATTTACCGAAAATACGTATTTGCTGAAATCGTGTTCTATTGCTATCATTATAGGAGTATTTAAATTAATCTGGTGTTATATCTACTCGTATTAATTTTCAACGTGGTATTTTCAATCATGTCCTTCAGTTTTTTTGAGCAACTCCAGTCACTGTTACATCACAGCAGCAGTAATTTGAAGACTTCTAAGTTGAACTGATCAAAGTGCTTACTAATAAAACTGTCTTTGCAGTCATCTAGTCATTCTCATACCGGGATTATTGATTCTGTTATCCAATAAGCCACAGAAGTACATAGCAATTTATCATTGATGCATTATTTACACAGTTGGGTTTCAATGAATCTATGAAAATTGATGTTGAAAGTCAGATTAATAGTCTGAATCCCAGTAGTGCATCAAAATGTAGTGAAGGCTTTATCTTTGCGAAATCAGTAGATATGATCAGTTCAAGTGCAGAGATTTACACCCCAATTTCTCCTATCTCAGAGGAAAAGGAGGAGTCCTCTCGAGTACTCAGTACGTTCTGTGTTACTAAAAATGCGTATTGCAGATGTTTTGAACTTAGTTGATGAAATACCTTGTGATGTTCAGTCCATTTCAAAGAAATTTGAACATTTTTGTTTTATTATCAATTGTTGTGATTTCGATATATTCAGCGTTGATTCGACTGGTAAACCGTCATTTTCGGAAATACTTTTTCGTGACATTGATTTTGATTTTGATGGGACAATGCAAATTTTTCGTAAAATGTTTGGTGGGTGGGGTATATGCATTGGTATTCAATATCCATTAGAAATGTTTAATTCTAGCCGAGGAACAATGTGATAACTTCCTTACTTTTGCTGGTAAAGTCAACCGTGCACGAATCAAGGATCCCACACTATTTTCGGAAGTGGGAGAGATATCATAGACGGAGAATACCCCGATTTACAAATATCTTCCAGTGATCCTCCGGTTGAAAATCTATTGAGAAGGGGAGTCATAAAGACGAGCTAACTATCTTCGTTAGCTGTGAATTTATAGTTGATGCATGTGACTATACAGTGGCCTGATTGATTTGTTTCGGAGGATCTCCGATGTCATGCTAGCGACCAGATATTGATTATCTATTTATGGTTTAAATTTCCATTGATGTGGAAAAGATATATATATATATATATACGCCATATTTTGAATAGTAAAGTTATTGTTGTCGCGGTTGAATCTGATTTCTGTGTCATCTATCTCAGTGTAGTGGGGGAATATTTTCAAGTGACTATTTGGCTATAGTGTCGTGTCTCGGGATGCATTGTGGTCAAATTAGACAACAACCAACAAGAAATGACCACTCCGTTACAACTGAGACCCTAGGGTTCACTGTGTATGTAAAATCACTAAGAGTGGATGCGCATCTATGCCATCATTGAGACCGAAGATTTTTAGCCCAATCATCAATAGTCTCCAGCCGTCATTGGATCTTAGAATCTCGAAGACTCCCAACCAGTCAGACAGTTTACACCTCCTTACATGGCTAACTCAAGCTGTCAAAGATTTTATGGACGGATGACAAGGTTTGGTTTGGTCACCACTATTTATTTTCTTACCTATACTTATGTCTGTTCCTTACGTCACCTATCGAGGAAAGCTATGGCTAACTATGCGTAACATCTGTTGTCCTAGCCATCTCCTAAATTGATGCATCGTACCTGACTTCCCCTCCGCCTTACCTAACGCATAATCTAATGCTCACTAGTGCGTCAGTTATTGAATGACTGTAGGAGGACGAATAGTTGACTGCGGTGTTCTAGGAAGGAAGTCGCGCATAACCACCACGAATAATGGAGTCCACCAACCACATTGGCTGGTATAAGGACAAGAGTACTCTTCGATGACACAGTGATTGATGTCGGTTGCGTTTTGTATGCATAGCACAAATCGCAGCAGGTTAGAATTCATGCTTCAACCATTGGATTCCGTTCTGGTTGATGGGATGAGTCATGATTGTGTGTACTTGCTGAAAAGTGAGTCCCAAATTTCGGATAAAACTGCCATTCAGCACTCCCCACTGCTAGTATTTTTCAGTGATTTGTTGACTGACTTGTGTTAGTCATTTCATCATCAGACTTAAGATTAATTTTTATAAAACTAGATGTTGACTGAATTATTGTTAAAGAACGTTTGGAAGACCAGCTAGCCACAGCTGTTTCGTCCAGTCCTAGTTTGGGGCTCTTCTTAAGCAGTATGCACACACCATAGGGGTTTCAATCCAGAATCTTCCAGTTACAAGGCGATCTCGTATATATATACATATATATATATATATATGTAGCGGTATCACCGCCTGCCAATGTTGTGGGCGAATAATTGTTATCCTACCTGGCTTGGTGGATTCCCTTGGTCGCATGACTTCTAACTAAGAACTCCCGGTAACTACTTGCTGTATAGAGGCAGTCACTAGTGTGCATCAGATTAATCATTTACCAAGTGTTGGTTTGCAGGAGGGGGGATTTGATTGGTTACAGGATTGACCACGAGTTGATACCAGTTACAGAGGTCATTGAAACCACCCTAGGGAGTACTGTACAGCTGTTTCGTCCGCATGTCTCGCGACTCCTCTTCAGGGTGCAACTGCGACCCCACCAGAGATCGAGCCACCCGGGACCTTCGGCTTGCGAAGAGACAAAGCTCTTTGACCATCCAGTCACACTTGAGTCGGACTGGATTCCACAACCCCTGCATTCTAACGTTTTCAATTCGTGTGATAATATAGCGTTATCATGGCCAACTAATACCTTCGATGAGTGCATGCTCTTCTTCACCTTGATGCATGGTGGACCTCAGTGGTCACGGCTTTTCTATAGTACAGCCTATGATCTGATCTGATTGTTAGTACTATTATTACATAATTGTCTTTACTAATTTTTTGCGTGTAGGTATGTCCTGGACAAGTTGGTGTCTTCTATTTCGGTGATGAGACAAATGGTCATGTGTTTAGTTATAATTTCTCACTGAATGATTCACGTGCTCGAGGAAATCAAAGTCGTTATAGTATACTAATTATATCGTGGAATAAAATATATTTGTTGAATTTGTGGTCATTTTTAGTAAGTTTCACAATTGGGTTTTTGTTCAGGCAATAATTTTTATATTTTTATTATTGTTATTATTTATTTTCGTTCCTTTGGGTTCGGAGTGGGACATAGGGCTATAACCGAGGCACATCTCCATTTCGTCCTATTCTTGGTGGTCCTCTTTACCCTTTGACGAAAATCCAACTCTTCGTTTCCCACTTTGGTTCCACTGGAGTGATGGTCTAGCACGCTATGCCACCTAACAGTCTCCTCAGCATGTGTCCAACCAATCTTCATTTTCTCCGGAATATATGTTGGGTAGGCAGAAGGTTCTTGATGGGTTCATTCCCAGAGTTTTTTTTGTTGCTAATTCTTTCTGACCGGGCATCTGATTTTCAGTATGGAGCCTGCAAACGCAGAGGTTGATAATAGACTGCAGCTGGCTGTTGGAAATGCTCTGGCCAACTTTCTCACCCATATAGAAGAAATGACTGACCCATTTAACATTTGTGTTGAAGAGAATCCAAGTTTTTTTCTTTATGTTGAAGCAGAGTGTAGAAGATTTCCAAACTGATTTCAGAGTGAAAAGGTCTTTTTTGCCACTCCTCTCCTGACTGGTTTTTTACATCCTCCACCTTGCCCACTGCCTGTAGTTGAAACGATGCTGCATAGCTATATAAGTGAAGGAAGTGACCTCTTTGAAATTTCTTCCGTTGACAGTGATTGGTGCTTGTTGTTGGTTAGTTGTTTATCTTCGTAACCTCCGTCATCTCTATTTTCAGTTTAAGTCTTTGTTTCCAGCTTCTTCTGCCGACTTGTTGGTTTTCTTCTGTAGGTATCCAGTTTGTGTGTGACATTGGACATAGATCATCCGCGGGAAATCCAGATCTTCTAGAGTCTCCTTGTTAACCCAACGTATTCGTAGCTTCCCGTTCCCCACATATGGTTTTCCATATAATCCAGTCCACCACAATTTGGGATATCATCATCGGTGATAGTAAGCAGTCAAATCTAACTCTTGTGTTCACTTGGAAGGCTTCGTTGAGTTTTCTTTGGCGGATGTTTCGCTTGACGTGGAGAAGCATTTCACCTGGCTCCACAATTGTCGCCCCACAAGATTTCATTTTTTCACATAATCTCCCTCATGTGCCCCTTTGTCCTACATCCAACGCATTCCCACCGACACTATAACCTACGCGGTGTGTGATATCACGTAATGGTCTCCTCACTGACTGAGTTTCTACATAGAACGTAGCACAGAAGTTCAACAGCTCTTCAAGTTGACTCTTCACATAGCACAGAAATCATAGAGTAAGAAAAGAGAGAGAGAGAAATGTATGGGGGAAAGAAAGAACATTAACACAGGATAACATGAAGGCTTAATGGGTCTAGGAGGTAGGTTACACAAGGGACGATTTTGAGCCCTTGACCAATATTCCCAAGTGATTGATTCTCAGCACTCCTAGTATGGTGAGTGCCACTGATAAGATTTATCAGCAGTAGATAAAGAGACGTTCATCAGCATAAAAACATCGAATAGCAGGGAGATACGTTTGATTTCAGGGAAGGCAAATGATACAGCGTTGTGAAGATACACGGGAGACGTGAAAAGAACACAACGAAACACAATATGAAGTCCAGAAGTACCATAACACGAAGATCTGTGCAAATGGTGTGTGGAAGATAAGGTATACATAATTTAGGTATATAGAGATACCAAATTCCAAATTACCATTTCTTTACCAAGTCTTTCGTATTCTATCGTTTAAGTGAGTCTGTGGCCGGGTAGTCTATACCCCCCCCCTACATGGCTTGCTCAAACCAAACTGTCAAAGACTTCATGGACTGATGTCAGGTTCTGATTTGACCTCCCCTACCTAACTCTTATCCAGTCTATTCGTGTGTTATCGCTAACATAGTTTTTTATTGGGATATCTAAGACAAAGAGAACTAATATAACGTGACCTCAGGGCCCAGGGGGCAAGTATTAGAGGACGGTGGCACAAGGCCTGTTTGAATTGGTTATTGGAGTTGTGTCCGACTAGGGACCGCTGTAGAGTAAGCTCGAATGTAGAATTTTCGGAGTTGACATTTTTTTACCCCACTCCCTCTTCAGAGTGGAGGGGCAAAATAACTGGTATGCTGGTCATCTCAGGGAAATACCCTATTGCTGTTACATCCCTGTTTCCTAGCAGTACCATTTTGCCGACAGATCCTCAGCATGGTGTAAAAATCTTACACTGTGCTAGTAACTGCTTTTAGTCTAGTCGCTCTCCTAAAAACCTTTTTGACGGCATAGCAGGACCTGCAGGAATATCAGTTCCAGGTATTATAACTTCACTAGTTTATCGTGATATGCAAGCCATGCTACCACAACCACCACATCAAGGTATCAGATATCGGTCGAAATATCAGTAAGGATACAAAAAAGAGCCGTGTGGCATTTGTGTACGACTACCTCCATCTCTCGCGTAGACGTGATTGATATCCCACTGACTGTCGGTCAAAAGACGTGTGTACTGACCTGAAGTAGCAATTCGCTCTATCTGTCTATCTTTCTTTATGGCTGTGAGTGAAATATGGTCATTGAGAGTGGAAGATGTGGAAAGTTTGGCTGGCTGTCTTTGATCATAGGTGTCTTCACTTTATCTCCAGTGTTAGGTGTTCTCTTCGCGGTCTTCCTATTAGGTGACTGCCTCCATGATGGCTTAGTAGCTCCCATCTCCTCCATATAACTCTTGAATCCACGCCCACCTCATCGTTTGTCATTTGGGGGTTGTATTCAAAAGGAGCCTGCGTTGTGTGTGATGTTACTCAATGGTTCCCACTTGCATTTCCCTCTGCATATTTTTTGGGCGATAGGTTCTTGGTCGGTTGGTTCGTCGCACTGCCACAGTTCCTTGTTGCTTATCCGTGTTTGACCAGCCATCTAACAAACTTCAATATTGAATCACCGTAAGCAACAGCAGCTGTTGATTAAAGTCTGCACTAAACCTGTTGGAAATGTCGTTTTTGGTGATGCGGGCGCCAAATCTGTGAAACATATAGAAGCACTGACTAACTTGACATTAGTTTTGAGAGTCCAAATCTTGTTTCTTATTCTGAGTAGAGTAGATTCCCATACTGATTTTAGATTAACACAGACCTGTCTTACTGTTCTGATCCTGACTTCGACATCATCCATGTCATCGGATAAGTGAAAGAGGTGACTTCCTTACAGTTTCTCCCGTTTCTGATAGTGGTTAGTGCTTGTTGTTGTTGTTGTTTTTGGTTATGTATCTTCATCACCTTTGTCTTCACTATGTTCACTTGAAATCTTGTCTTCATTGCTTGCCTCTTCTCTGCCAACTTGTTGGTTTTCACCACACATGACTTGTCTTTCCCAAGTCCAGTTTCTTCCAGACAGAGGTTGCCATCCAGAGTATCTTTTAGTCTCCCTTCAGGATGACGTGGCTGATAACTTTGCTTAAAATGGACAAGAGTATAATTCCATCCTAGTTCTCTCCATGGCTTCAGCCACCTTTGTTTGGTGGTTTGACTAGGTAAACTCTTCCAATGAGTAGGTATCCTTCCTTCTAAGCTTTCCACAATGGTGACACGATGATCTCTGGATCCGTCTTCAGTACTTTTGTAGGTGTTCCATCTTATCTTGCTGTCCTTTTGGCTTTCAGCAAGTGTATAGCACTCAGGATGTCTGCTTTTTGTCGGAGGATTCGTGTTTTACTGACAGATCTTTTCATTTTGTGTTGGTATTTATGAACAATTCGCAAGTGGTGGTCGTTGGTTCAGGAGTCTACTGTTTCCTTTCCTTCTCCTTTTTGATATAATCAGGTTCCCTCCAAGATCTTCCATTGTTTCCATATGTGTTAATCTCTTCCTGGATATCCAGCTGTTTATCTAGTACAGTGTTGTGACATCAGCCATCTGATCTTCAGTTTAAAAGCATCGAAGCCAGCTGTTAATAAAATTTCTTCAACTAGTTGTCAGTGCTTGGCATGATGCGTACGCCAAGTATCTGAACTGTACAGAAGCACTCAGCGACCTGATTTGACTGTTGAAAATTCGAATCTCATTCCTTATGTTGAGTGTAGCGGATTTCAACCAGAGGTAATTTTGACCAGCTTGTTTACTATACAGCCATTGAGATGAGATCCAATAACCTGCTGATGAATTCTAACATATGTCAGTTTGCTTATTAGCATGGGATTAACGAACTGGCCTTATCAACTGAAGCTCTTGGTGTACGGTTTGATCTTTTGTATTCGGATGATGGATAGGCACTGTTGAAGAGAGTTGCAAACTAGAATGAAGTAACTCGCTACCTCCAGGGGGCTATTTGCATTGTCTGATGTTGGTGGCGCTTTGTATCATGGATTGGCAGTCATAATCGGAAGCTTTTAGGTTGTTAATCGTCTGGGTTCACGGGTTTGGGCTGATGAAGAGTTTCACACTGGGATGATGATGCTCTATAACTGATGTTGGTAAAGATATATATATGTATATATACATATATATATTAACGACATGTTTTTTTCTTATAAAGGATCAATTTTTTTCTTTTCACACAGATATCTAATATATCCCGTATGGTATCTCGATTGCGTTTATCAGCCAATAAAGTGTTCAATGATGAAATATCCGACAATGCTGTAGTCACCTCAACAGGTACAAATCAATGTCGCACATCTACTGCAACAACAACCTCGGCAACTGCAGCTCCCTTAAGACGATGTGCTACTCCACCGGCAGCTTTAGCTCCTGTACTCTATGGTCAGGCAATAGCCGCAGGGAATGCAGTCGCGGCGACAAATTCTAGTTTTTATCCCCATCATCATTCAACTCTGGGTAGAGAAACACGACAGAAAAGAGCTACCGATTCAGATATGCGTTCACTAGCTGATCTGACGAAAGATGATCAGGTTAGATGCACATGTGTGTTTATGTATATGTTACTGTGTGTGGATGTGTACGTTTTGTACAGTTTGATTGTGAACGACCTATTTGAGACTTGTCAGCTATGGAGGTAGGTACCTTCGGTAAAGTTTACCTCCTCGAACCCAATGTGTGTGTTAATTGTTCATTTCGCGAATTTAATTTATGCTACCCCTAATCGCGGCCAGAAATAGGTTGGTTTCAACTGATTTGGCTCTTTTCCTCTGATGAACCGCGTCAAATCGGGTACAGCGGGTGGCCCTAAACTAGCGAAATGGCTGTCTGGGAGTTGTTTTTAGATGATTTTAATCTGGCAGATAATAGCGGCTTAAACCATGAATCGATGTATTCAACCATTGGGCTGAGACGCGAAAGGTTTATTATAATGTCACTGGACAACTTTCAAAGTCTAATCATATGCAACCAATGCAATTAGTTATTTGATGGCTTAACCTTCCGAGGGTTTGTAATGCATGCATATAACCTATATTTTGTCCAATAGATTGAATTCTTCTCACCGTCACTGACTAATCTGTCTTCTATCTTTATTTTCACGCCCCCCTTAGCCTAGATGGGAGTGGTCTTAATTAATTAGTAGTCAGTACCATCTGTCAAATATTCAGTCTTCAGTTGAGTTGCTCAATTTACATTTCAATACATAATAACAAAACAACAAAACATGTACTTTCCAACTGTGAGAGGTATCTGCTTTTAGAAGACACAGAAACACTCATAACCACTATGGGAATTGAAGAATTAGAAGTTAAGAGGAATTAGTGTGACAGACTTTAGAATACTTTTTTCAACAGATATGAACTTCTCTATCTTGTTAAAATGGCCACGTGACAGGAAAGGATCGACAACAAGGAACACAGCCCAAGAAATATCCAGAAGGAAAACGGGTGATGAATAACATCAGATCACAGTCAGGCCCCTGAATTGAACCCAAAATGGGAAAGGATGGGTTGGGTATAGGTTCAAGGGTGAAATGGAAGGGATCGTTTGACAAGAAAATGAAATATTGTGGAGAATCAGCAAAGTCAACTGATGAAGAGTGTGGAGAACAGAATGAAATGTAGATATTACCCAGCTAAGACCGTCTGTTGCGCTTGAAACCTACAGGAGTACTAGTAAATAAATAATAATGATACCATCAACGTGGGAAATTTGAAGGAAGTCACTTCTTTCACTTTTACTGTAATATTCTTCCTGCCATACACAGTTGGCACTAATCACCAACAAAGCTGTGGAATGCAAAGGAGGTCATATGCTTCAGTCGCTTGACTTCGGTGGCATCGTTTCAACTACACACAGTTCCACAGTTGTGCATGTGAAAGCCAACCAAGATTCATTCGTGAAAGGAAAAAAGGCGCTCATTACACACTCTGAAATGAGTATGTGGAAACCTACTACACTGAGTATAAAGAAACATGATTCTAATTCTCAACATTAATGTCAAGATAACCAGTGCTTCTATGTGCTTCAAAGACTTGTCCAGAGCGTCAAAACATGTACTGCCTTCTCTAGTTCGATGTGACAAAAAGATAAGTAACAAGGAACTTTAGGTGGGAATGAACCAATCAATAAACCTAATGTTCAACAAATTTGCCGAAGAAAGTGGAGATGGATGGATTGGACACACTCTGAGGAGACTGTCGAGTGACATCACGCGCTATCCAGGTCATCGCTCGAGTGGAACCCGAATGGGAAACGACTAGTATGTCGTGTATAAGAATAGAACTTGCGCACTGTGGCAGAGTATAATTCCATTGTAAATATTACTGTATAACACTGGGAGACTTTATCAAAATAAATTTTATACACAATGGAATTTGTTTGTCGTGTGTTCGAGGGTGACAAGGATTAGATCGTATGAGGTGGAGGAGATGAGAACCTATGGGCAATCATGGGACTAGCTAAAGGGGACTGTAGAGAACAGGACAAAATGGAGACGTGCTCCGGTTGAAACCCTGTTCCACTGGAAATTCAAGGGAATAATAATAATAGTAATAATCCTAGCTGTTATTGATATAAGTATAAAACTTAGGCACTGTGGTAGAGTTTAACTCCATTATGGATAAGATTTTAATTTGCAAAATCTAATAGTGTTATACAGTAATATTTAATGATGACGTTTCGGGCACAATTTATTGCTGATAATCATATAAAGGCACTCACACACACAACTTTCTTGTTTCATTTATATACATGTGTGGAATCGATTAGATATTAGATGTTGCTGAACACGTTATCATCTCTGCTATCGTCTGTGATTGAAATGATACTGACCAGGTCAATTAGGTTATCGTTGTGTGGCCTACTTGGAATTTCTCCCGTTGATGGGGATTGTTGCTTCTTGTTACATCTCTAACTGATACCAGTCGGTGATATAAAACTTGAAGCAGATTAAATTCCCCCTCCCCTACAAAATACCTCTTCAAAATTAATATGATACCCGCTAGTGGCTGGATACAGATAGATGAGGTTTCCTTGAGTGTTCTGGTGGGAAGTCATGACCAGTGTGGGGTCCATCAAGCTGTCGTGTAGCGTGAGGAGAAATACGCGCCACCAATGACACTAGCTGGCGCCATCAGTCACGCTAAAATCACAAATTGGTAGAAGTTAAAATTCATGTGTGCGTAGACCATTGAGTCAGGTGGTCCCCAGTCCCCAGTAGTGGCTGAATGGTCGCCAACGAGCTTGACTTATAGTTGGAAGGTTCTGGATAGTAAGTGCGTGCCACCGATTGTTCCCTAACTAGGCTGATGAGACAACTAGCTCTCTGGCAGTACTGCCTGCGGCTGGTTTTCAGTGGTTCTCTATTTCACGTTATCAGTCCGTGGTCGAACTTGTTGTTAAATCTGTTTCTCTAACTTAATGAGTTTATTATCATCAATTCTCCTACTTTTATTTCCCTGTTTTTCTCTCTCCTATAGATATTTTATCGTATCCATGCATGGTTCACTTGGTTACTTCGTGCTGGTGGTCGTCGTTGGAGTGTACTGCCGTCAGTGATCGCCCCACCTGAAGATGAAGATACCTTGATTATGCAAGAGGAACATGAAGCGCTTCTGACAGCTGGTGTCGACCATTTGATGTCATCAATGAATCTATCCAATCCAGTTATTAGTAATACCATTACTCCTAGTATTTCTAGTGCTAATAATATTCCTAATACTGCCAATATAAGTAATATCAATAGTAGTAGTAGTAATAATAATATTAATGTTACCACTGGTTCAAGTTATAAACAACCAATGAGTCATTCCAGTAGTTCAACTCTGTTGTTCAAACCGTCAGTATCGCCAGACAATAGTTCATCCAACCTGGTGGAAGATATAACAACACTGGATTTCAGTTGTCTGTCGTCTGAAATGGAGAATTCTGTGTGAGCAACCTTATTTGGTTTATCGATTATATAAGTTTTCAAGTGTTATTGGTATTTGCAGCAGCGTGGGGTGGGTACGATTGGTTATACAGGTCTGATGACGAGCTGAGTATAAGCAGTGAGGGGAGAGTACTGAACACAAGTGTTTTGTCTTCCTTGTTTGACACTGACTTTTCAACATGTACGTACCCACTGAGGTTTTCACTAGTGACTAACTCTATACAGGAAGTAGTTACCTGGAGTGTTTTAATGATATCAGTCGTGACCAGTAGAGTGGTACAGCAAAGCATGTAATGAGGACAACTATTCACCGATGACATTGGCTGATGAAGTGGCAGAAGTTGGAGTTCATGGGCTGTCGTATCGTGTCCCAGTGACTGGATGGTGCACGACGAGTTCGTCTTGTAAATTGAAGGTCCTGGATAGTTTGATCCTCTGATGGTGTGAGGCCATGGGTATGCAGTGTCGAGGAACCCCAAAATATTAATCCCTGCTGGTTGGTTTTCAGTGATCCTCTAACTGTGAAATCATTTCCTTTATCAATCTTGTAAAATGTTCTCTTTATTCAGACAAGTCTCATATTCATAAGCTGTATGTACAATCGTACTTAAATTTATCTGAAATACATAGCGGCCCATTGCTGTGGAGTAGAGGAGGTGGGTTGTGTGACATTATTGACAACAGGTTTGATGACGAGTTGACATCAGTTAGAGGAATATCAATAACAATGGAATACCCGGCTCAACTGTTTCATCAGCCTAGTTTTGGACTCTTCAGCACCACACACCCACTGAGGCTCGAACCCAGTACCTTCCGGTTACAAGGCGAGCTTGTTGGCAACCATTGGAACCCAATCTCATGACCAACGCGTGAGTTCCAACTTCTGCGAATTCGCGATAGATATATTGCGGCCCGCCAGTCAGTGCCGTCGGTGAGTAACTATCCTCTTGTCTGTCTGATTCAGTTGCACCCGCTGGTAACATACGACTTCTCAGTTTGTAATGTAATTTCCTCCTGGCATATCAACACTTGACAAACTAATATACTGCTCATCAGTGTGACTGGACTACAAGAAAAAGTTATTTGGAGTTCTGCTGAGATGTTAATGACTACTGGGCTCCACCAATTAGAGAGGGCGTACTAGGAAAAATACTCTTCAATGACATCGGTGGTCTATGGTTTCAATATAGCACTTTGCATAAAAGTGCAGCAGCACTTTAAGTTGCCACACTCCCTCCATGTAGCACACACACACAAAGGTATAGAAAAGAGAGAAAAAATAAATAATGAGCAGAATGTACGGAAGGAAGAAAGAAATAGTAACACTGAAAAACTTTGAGGGTTGAATGGATATAAGATATGACATAAAGTGGATAAACGGTAGCCGTTGAGAACGATAATTGTGAGACATTATGACCAGTAATCTCTAGTCATTGCTAATTCTGTTATGACCGTTAGTACACTTGGTAGCTTGCGCCAACGAGCTTCCTACCTAGTCGTTTCCTGAGCCTATTGTTCTAATTGCTCTATTAGTAACATCAACGATACGGTACGATACCACTGAACCTGTGACATTAGAAGGCAGACCGTTTACTTTGAGAGCTTTTACTGTCTCGAATCAACAGTCAAAAAGGGTAGACAGCAGTCGCGTATAAATATGCTTTAAATGGCCTTGAGAGACACTAATTAAGACAGTCGGCAATCAAGAGGGTTCCAAGGTCTCAAATGGGCAGGTGGAAGGAAATACAAACAGCACTGTAAAGATAAGTGTATATTATTATTGTCTCCTTTAGTTCCTAGAAGAACATAAGACTTCTCCGTTGCGTTCGGTTCTCCGCCAACGTTTTTACCTGGCTCCACGTCTGCCCACAGGCTTTCGTCCCCTCTTCACATGACCTCCTTCATGTCATCCCCGGACGACCAGCTTGATGCTTCCCATTTGGGTTCCACTTGAGAGCCTGACGTGTGATGTCACTTAATGGCCAATCCACCTCCATTTCTTCCTTCTTATTTGTTGTGCAATTGGTTTCTGGTTGGTTCGCTCACAGACATTTCTGTTGCTGATCTTTTCTGGTCATCTGATCTTGAGTATTGAGCGAAGACAGCTGTTGATGAAGGTCTGTAGTCTGTTCGAAGTGCCCTTCGTAACGTGCCAAGTCTGTGATCCGTGTAGTAGCACTGACCACATTGGAGTTGGAAATCCGGATCTTATTATTTATTTGTTTTTTATTCTGAGTACTGTTGATCTCCACACAGACTTAAGAGTAATAAAAGCTTGCCTTGCTCTCCTAATCCTCGCTTTGATATCCTCATCAATTGTGCCTGTAGTTGAAACGATGCTTTCCAGGTAGGTAGGTAAAGGAGATTGCTTCTTTCAGCTTTCTCCCATTTATACTGATTGTTGTCTGTTGTTGTTGCTGTTGACCAGGAATCTTCATCACTTCTGCAGTAGTAGTAGGTCTGTATAACACTCCCCCCTTTCAAAGCCGAAATGAACATGTACAATAAAATTAGTACCTCTTCTTCTTTGGGTCAACTTGGAATCGTATTGTCTGGGATCTCTTGCTATTGGATTGCCTTCTGGGTTGAGACCACTTCTTGTTCTCTGACTCCCGTTTGTTTACCTTCGTATCAACTGAAGGTAGCATAGAGTTGTCTGAGTGACTTGATATGATTATGAACAATAATTTGTGCTCGAAACGTCATCAGTTAATATTATTGTACAACACTGTGTGATTTGTCAAAATAAATCTTATCCATAATGGAGTTATACTCTACCACAGTGGCCAAGTTTTATACTTATATCAAGGTAGTGTAAATGTTCCAAGTAAGAAGTCAGTTTGGAAATATTCTGCACGCAGTGTAAAGATCAAGATTTCAATTTTCGACATAAATGTCAGGCATTTCCAAAAGGCTGCCGTGGACCTTTATTAACAGCTACCTTCGTTCCATACTGAAGATAGAATGGCCGACCAGGAATAATTAGCAACAAGAAATTATGGGGAAAAACTAACCATGAACCTATTGCTCAAGAAATGTGGTGGGGAAGATGGAGATGGATTGGGTATGTGCTGATGAGACCGTCAAATGACATCACACGCCGTCCAGGCCATCGCTCGACTGGGGCCCGAATGGAAATCGATTAGTTTGTTGTGGGTTCAAAGGTAACATAGATTAGATCTTATGAGGCGGAGGAGTTGAGATCTTATGAGCACTCGTAGGCCCAGCTAAAGAGGATTGTAGAGAACAGGACAAAACGGAAATGTACTCAGGTTGAAACCTTATGTTCCACTCGGAACTCAAGGAAACAATGAAAAAAAGAATTTAGGAGACCTAAGAATATCTCATGTTTTGATGATGTCATGTGGCGCCGTCGTAATTGTGTCTTATTCATGTTTCGTCCCCCACTTCTACTTCATGAATCATTGTTCTGCAAGTACCTTTAGTCTGGCGTCCCATCCATTTTGCTCTTCCGCGTGATAAAAATAAAAATAAAATAATCTCAAGCACAGACCAGGTCACTCTTCTGTAAATAACCTGCAGCACTTTCCCGATGATTTGATGGTGACGGTAACATTGTATTTGTGCGTTGAAGTTTTAGTAGCAATTTGGTTAAGTAACATTGTATGGTGGTCGGTGCACAACGTCCGTCCCCTTAAAAGTTCTTCTGGAATTTTCTTCTGTTCTGCTGTTGGCACCGTGAGGTACACGAAAAGGAACTGTTGTATAATTTTTTATGTGGCTCCTACCCCTGCTTCTACTTTAGCTGTCTTGAAAGTGTTCACAAACCTTTCTGCTTGATTGTTGAACTGAGGGTGATAAATTGGCGTCCGCACCTGTTGTATACTTTTATTCAACAGAAATCTTGAAATACTTGCGATGTGTGCTGACTGCCGTTTTCAGATACAATGGTGTCCGGAATGCTATGGCATGCGAAGACTTTATTGAGTGCCTCTATGGTACGACCATTGAAAGGGTGAGGCGATTGGCATTGCCTCTAGTTACTTTGAATAAGCATCCATTGGAACGAAATAATGAACACCATTCAACAGCCCAGTAAAGTTCAAATGTAGTCAGGACCATGATTTTAATGGTGGCTATGGCTTCGGTCGTTCTCGTGGTGGGTATTTTGCCGTGGCTTGACGTGCTTCTTAACGTCTTGAGGACTGCAATCAGACCACTCTACACCTTCCTGTATGGCTGCCTGAAACCACTGTCCATCACCTTACTGGGAATCTATCGATCACTGATACGCGATATATAATGCTATCGCTGCCAGTTTATGTCATCGACAAGCATGTGTCCTTACATCCCTCCTTCCTAATGAGCTTCTTTGGTTTTAATTTGCAACTTTATATAGTAATAATAGTAGTAGTACTAGTACGCACGGACTCATCATACCACTGAGGATCGAGTCATTATTCAGGAACTTCAGTTTTTTGAAGGCGAGACCGTTGATCATTTGCAGCTACTGGAACTGGAATCCAATGGCTGCCTGCCCCTGAATTTTAACTTTTGACAATTGGCGATTTTTATCGCCACTGCCATCAGTCATTCAGTGACATTGATGACTATTTGTTCATACTCACACACACGATGACTTGACGAATCCCTCGAGCTATCACTTGAGGGCAGGTCACTGGATTCTATCCCAGTGGCTGTGAACAGTCGACTGCCTCGCGGCTTGTGCCTTGAAATTCCTCAGTTCAATCCTTGCGTGAAAATAGCAAAGATGCGTAGTGTTGATGAGTTTCAGAAACTGGATGGAAAAACTTTCCAAATATTCACTGGTGGTTGGTTCTCAGTGACTTCCTAACTGAGATCTTAGTTTGTGATTTAACAGTACAAACCAACATTCACTTGTGAGTTACTGACTGACTACATATACGATGAAGTTGCATGGAGTGTTCTAGTGTAAGATATTCTGATTCCAGTTTGATCTTCCAAAAATAGGACAAATGGTCGTCATCGACATGACTGAAAATTGTCAACGTCTTCGCCTCGTGATTCTGATAACGCCGGTGGGGTTGAGTGTTGGAGAATGAAATCTTTTCCCTTCCATTCGGACTCCAATGTGTGCGCACCACTGATGAGTCCCAAACTTGGCTGACAAAACATTCCTCGAGTACTATGTGTAGCTTGTTTTCAGTAGTTTTTTAAATGATGTCGATCTGTGATATCAAACTTGAAACGAATCAAATTCCCCCCTACAAAGTAACCCTTGAAAGTTAATCTGATATTGGCTAGTGACTGACCACAGGACGAAGTTTCTTGCAGTGTCCTAGTGAGAAGTCGTAAGGTTCATCAAATTGTCGGGAGTGAGGACAAATACTCTCCCTCTGACCATGCTGACTGATGCCACCAGTCGCGCTAAAATCACGAATTGGCAGAAGCTAGAATTCATGGGTTGGCGACTGACTTGGTTCCCAGTGGCCTAATTGTTGCCAACGAGCTTCAGTTGTAACCCGAAGGTGTCTGGGGTGGTTCGAACCCAGGTGGTGAGTGCGTACATCCGATGAGTCAGTCCCGGATTGGGCTATCGTAACAGCCATCTGTCTGGCAGGAGTCCGTGTTGACGGTTTCCAATAGTTCTCTGTCGTATTAACCCGTGGTCACACATGAAAAAAACTAATCATTTAAATCTTCCCTGCTGTTTTTCCTCATCTCTTCTAGTTCTTTATTAATTTTATCAAGACTATATCATGTACTTGGTGTCATGCCATTCAGTCGGCTTGTTCAACATATAGCAATCGGTAATCAAATTGTTGTTCAACCTTTGGATGAGGATATCAATGCTACATTGACATTATCTGCATTGGCTAAACTATTACCTAGAGGATGTATTAGACAGGTAGGTTATTATTGTTATTTTCATTATTATTATTATTCCCTGGGGTTCCTAATGGAACATAGGGCTTGAATGGGGTAACACCTCCACTTTGTCCTCTTCTCTACAGTTCTCATCAGCTGGTCCGACGATTGCCCGTTAGCTTGCTTCCCCTCTTCACATGATGTCCTTCATGTCACCTTCAAAGCGATGCCTAATTTGTCGTTTCCTATTCGGGTTGTAGTCGAGTGATGGGTTGGTGGGCGCGTGATGTCATCCAATTGGTTTCCTCATTGAATGTGTCTGATCCATCCATATACATTTTCCTCGGAATATTTGTTAGGTAGGGAAGGGGTTCTTGACTGGGTTCTGCACTACCAGAGTTTGTTGTTGCTAATTATCCCGGCTAGCCATCTGATCACCCGCGAAATCCAGATCTTCTAGAATTTTCTCATTTGTCTAGCGCATTCCTGTCCAGCACTGTACATGATGAATAAGATAATCTAAACTGGATAAGTACTCTGCTGATGTCACCTTAAGCTGTTCCTATACATTTACATGCACTTACGAGAGCAAGTACATTGGAAAGCCAAATTTAAAGGCGTCTATCATGTGTTTTCTGAACATATCCCATGAAATTTATGCTTAAATGGGGAACAGATATTCGCAAAAAGTTAAATTACTACTAGACATCTTGTGGCTAAAAGTCATTTCAACGAGATCTTCAAATCCTTCAAAATATTGCATATACAAACAAGGAAAGCAAATTGACTACGATTTTTGCTGAAGGTAGTGCAATCAAGCTTTTCAAACCAAACATACATACATACAGAAAGGAAGCGTGTAATTACTCACTCTCAATAGCCTGGTAAGTGCATTTTGATTACATTGTGATTAGTCATACATATTAGGCATTTCAGCTCACTGAGCGAATTTCAGTTTTATGATATCTTATAGTCTTCTTAAGTTAACACATGGACTTATAAGCTAATACTGTTTTGTTCCGTCCCTCCTCCTCTCACCTTTTCTGTTTCGTAAGTATGTAAACTGATGGTAACATAAACTGAGTGTGTATTGTAGTGCTTATATTTTGGATGCGTTAAATCTTATAATTTTTTCTCTACCATTACTACAACTACCAAAGATTGAAATATGTTATTGTCACTAATCATTTATAACCACTGTAGTTCCGGGTGGTTTAAAGCAGATGATGAGGACCTGTGAAATAGAATGTTGACAGCATTTTATATTGCGAATTCAGTCTTTCGTTCTTTCTTTGTCACTATGTATCAAGGGAAATAAGTGCATGAAGTCCTTGGTTAGTTCGTCGTATTCCCGGAATTCCTTCTCGCTTGTTGCTTATCCTTTTACTGGTCAGTATTGAGTCAGTCAGTGATGGAGGGCATCTGTTAGTAATTGTGTGTTGTTGTTAGCCACCTGTTGCTTTTCTCCAGTTCTTCTGCGTCATTCGCGTTGCAAGTGCCTGATGTTCGAATTCGCTCTTTCGCTTTTATTAGGAACACCTCTTTGTATCGCACAGAGGCAGTGAATCGGACAACTTGGCTGATAGCATAGAGACTATAAACGTGTAGCCATAAGAGAATGTTTCGAGAGAGAGAGAGAGAGGAAGACCGAATTCTGCACTAGTAGCAGGTAGTTTATAGGGGGTATGAGGCCGTATCTTGGAAGGAAGGAGAGGTACGTACTCTTTGGAAGAAAAGTTACCTTTCCCAGGTACCAAAGAAACCGACCCCACAAGAACTGAAACGGAATGATGCTCTTGTCCACACCAAGCGAAATACTAGGTTACATCATCCTAGAGAGAATAAAAGACGCACTGTATGCAGAACTCTGCCCCGTGGAGCAGGCTGGATTCAGGAAAGGCAAATCATGTGTCGATCAAATTACAACTCTACGCATCGTCATCACGGAACAAAGCATAGAATGCAGTCAAATCTCTGCACCTTTAGCTTCGTCGATTTTGAAATGGCCTTCGACAGACAGCGTTGACTGAGAAGTAATTTGGAAACTACTTCAACACCATAAACTGTCCTAAGTCTTTATCGACCTCGTTCAACAACTGGCCTTCTGACAATGGCACATGTCAAATGATCTGCAACAAAAAACTCGGCGAAGCCTGCGTTTGAAGTAAAGACAGGAGAAGTAATACAAGGCTTCTTACTATCACCAACTATGACATTCCTAATTTGGGGAGGGGACTGGATTATGCAGAACACCACGCGTGGCAAGCGAGGACATAGGAATACGTTTGACCGATAAGAAGGCTCTAGGAGATCAGGATTTCGTAGACCATTTATGTTAAATTTCACACAAATTTGGAGACTAAGAGGAAAAAATCAAAACGTTGGTAGAAGAGACTAGCAGGAGAGGAAAGCCATTGCGTAACAATAAGGAATTTAAAACGAACAAACAAATGACCAAGGTAACAAATAAGGATTGAAAACGTAGTGATAAGGAAAACGGTAAACAGGAACTTCAAATAGAAAACGCAATAGGATAAAAATTATGGTTCAGCGGACTGACTGTTTATGATGGCCACAGTAAACACAAAAGTTAGACGTATTTCTTTCGGATATATGGCGTGGGTTTCAGCTTTGGGATCGCTGCTAACACAGCTGTTACCAGATGATTTAGAGAGGCTTGATTGGATCTTCTGTGTGAGACCATAAAGGAATTTTCAAGTGGAGGAGAATGTCCTGAATTCACAAGATATTGTATTACCTAACTATATCCAAACTTCTATGTTATAAAAATAGGAATTGTGCATTGTGGTAGAGTATAAATCCATTGTGGATAAAATTTATTTTGATAAATTCTCACAGTTTCACAGAGAATATAAGGCATCAACTGTCATACAATTTAAGGAGGATTCTCAATCAGGCAGGAATTACAGTGACATTTAAACCTACAAGCTCACTCAGATAGGAAAAGCTCTGTAGATTAAAGGACACAGTCGACCCAATTAGACAAAATAATATAATTGACAAAAAACCGTGCAATCACTGTGAATGAGGTCAGCTACATAGGTCAAACTGGTAGGTCGGGGTAGTCAGATTCCATTATGGATAGTCAGATTGTCGGAACATAAGAATTTAGCTAAGGTGAGAATGGTTGACCCCGAGAAGATAAGTAATTTAGAAAAAAGCTCAGCGCTACATGGCACTGCATGCATTAACACACAACCACACAATAGGGTGTGAGAGGGCTAAAATGATAAGAAGTAATATAGGTAGGTGTAGAGAGAGGTTGATTACTGAATCATGCCTGGTTCATCGAGTCTACACCCAACACAACAAGTGCAATAGGATCCAATGGCTCATCACTCACACCGAAAATATGGACATGCGATTAGCAATGAAGTCAAGCGATGAAAAATAATGGAATTATATAGACGAAGGAAGTTAGAAAGTTGTGTGAGTACCTTGATATGATAATGAGCAGGAATAAAATACTGCGTAGCACTGTGAGACTATGTCAAAATAATTTTACCCATAACTAAACTTTCTTGCTCCCTTCCGTAGGTAGCTAGCTAGGTTGCTGTATGTTCAGTAGGACGTTCAACATTGGCCAATGTAATTCAACACCACAACATCAAGTGAACTGGTATATCTGCATGCTGAAGTGGCTCTGTTTGTAGAAAAACGTCGGCGAAGTAGCTTAGGGACGTCTTCTGCACTTTTGAGTACACGGGCCCAAATATTTACTGTCCTTATTCAACAGATTTATGACAATGCCAAATTTCAATTGGTCTCCAACGGAAGAGGCAGCAAGCCTGACATTGAAGTGAATACAGGAGCAAGACAAGACTGCCTACTATCACCGATAGTGATATTGCTAATTGTGGTGGACTAGATTACGTGTTAGACTGTAGGCATTGTGAGGACAGGAATAGGTTGGACCGATAAATGTTATCTAGAATATCTGGACTTGAGGCAGACAACTGATTTCCAATGTCATAAGAACTAGAAGAAAGGTAAAAGCAATAATTTGTTTGGAGAGTTAGGCAATGAAGACAGGACTTCAAAGTGAATACAAAGAGTGGAGAGGCGATAAAGTTGCCTGACTACCAACAACAGCAATAACCGAACAACATGAGTAGAAGAAATCTAAAAGAGGCCACTTCTTTCACTTATCCGACCTCCATAGTGAATATAACATGGACGTTCAGTGGGGATAATCAACGAGTGACTGTAACAGCGAATCGACCAAGAATCTGTTGTCCAACAAAAACATGCCATAAGATATGAAGATGAATGGAAGACACGCTGAGAGACTACTAATTGGCATCAGTTGTCATCCAGGGCATCTGTCTTGTATAATCCTATTCGGAAACAACCAGTTGAATATGTACATGGGATGTATACATGGAGATAATGTGAAACACAACAGATAATCATATTAAAAACCAGCCGTAGTCGGAAAGATAAGTCAGATATGCATCACTCTGAATTTAGTTCGGATATGTCCTCCTTTCCTCCTCGGCATAATCAGCAAAATTTGGATTCTTCTCAATACCAAAGTTGAGTCAGTCAATTTTTCTATATGGATATGTAGGAGATCTTCTAAGGAAAAGATAAGACACTAAAAGAAATCGTATCCACTTATGGTAAATGACTGAGAATATTCTACAGCTATTTCAAGTCGAGAGACAAATTAATAGAATTGAATATACTGATGAAAATGTAACAGTTAACAGAGGGTTCGGATAAATCAACATAATAGGATAATTATTATGTGGAAAATTGTGCACTTAAGCATTAAAAATCATAAAAATAACGGAAATGAATGGGAAGAGTGGATTAGATACATAACAGGATAATTACTATTGAAACAATTAACTACTTATGATGGCCATGGTAGAGGCAACAACGGTTGGACGTATATCTTTGGATCAGTGCATAGTATCCGCTTGAACCTTGGAATAGCTAGCGCCTCACCTATGCTCAGATACTAATATATGTATAAGACTTGAGTTACTGTGGTAGTATGTAATTTTAGGTCAGAGAGACAACGATTGATAACTGAAACTTTATTTATCGGATAATCAGACTTGTGAATGGTGGGAGCCATCAAACTTCCTTCATTTGATTTCCTTTTAACTTCTGTATCTTCTTCTTCCATAGGTTTTAGCAAATCACGAATACTTGCCTCCGTTTCGTTGTAATCTGTTAAGTTTATCAATTCATACGGCTTCAAGTATATCGTCATCTACTGGATACAACGATGGTCAAGAAGGCGGTGACATGCCATCGACGACGACTGTCAATGAACATGTTTTATACTTAGCTGTTTATCGTTATCGTTACGGCTGTCACAATTTGCCGAATAGGACATCGTCAGGAGGCGGCCAAAGTGAAAATGATGAGCAATTATCTCGTATGCAGTGTTATGTGGATTCGGTAAGTTACAGAGTCTGTCTAGTGCTGAGATTATAAGTTACCCTTGGAAGGACAGATATGATAGCTAATGCTTCACGTGACCAGTGTGGGGTCCACTAGATTGTCTAGTGGTATGAGGACATATGTTTGCCGCCGATGACACTAGTTGGTGCCATCAGTTGCGCTAGAAATCACAAATTGGTATAAGTTAGACTTCATGCATGTGCAGTTAGTTCAACTACACTGTCACTGTTTTGACCTAGGATTCTTCCATCTCCCTTCTGTCTGTAGCTATTCTGAGTTTATAGATAACAGCCGAACCATTTCTTCTCCTAATTGGAGTAATGTTAGCTGACACTGAACTGATGGTATCAATACATTGTGGTCTTTCACGAGTTAGTTTGTAGGGTATTGATTGGTTTGAGAGAAGCATTGGAAACCACCAACAGTGAGTACTTTACAGTTATTTCGCCGCTCTTGTGTGGGACTCTTCAGTATGCTACATACACCCACGATCTTCAGGTTATGAAGTGAGGTGAGGTCTTTAACTGTATGTTATAGTCCTTTAGCCTGTGGTTTGAGCAAGTTACATAAGTAGGTGTAGACTGCCTAGACGGCTTGGTTAGGTGGATGTATGGTTTGGTTTTTCGTGACTCTAAGTATAAGTCATGATAACATAGCTCTAAATGGTAACAATAGCCAAGAGACATTCTTTGTTGGATGTTTAGGGGGCAGTTGGAAGGAAGACTAGTCTAACCTAGGTTTCGTGCTCTTTGGCAGTCGTATTACTCTACAAGGCGTATCTGAAATCTGGAAGACACTTGCGAGACTCTTCAAGATCACAGATGCACGTCTCGGTATGACTGATGAATGCCGACAAGCAGGAAACTTAGGTGTCCACCTAGAGCTTTCTACCGATCGCCTCCAACCATCCAAGACAGCAATCTATAAAGTGTTTTCACTGTTCGACTGAATCCGAAGCATAGAAAGGAGGGTATAGCTGTTGTCGCCTTTCTAGCTCAGTAACTACCTAACTGCCTGTTTGGGTATCCTTGAGGCACAAATCACAGCTCAAAACTTGTCGTTGTCTATCGCACAGACTGATTCATTTCATTTACTCTACCCTCACCAATTTGTTGGCATATGATTCTCGTTTCCTTTTGTGTGTATTTACTTTAAGTTTAAAGAAGAATCCAAGGCACCTCCTTTCTACTCGATTGGTGGTTGTGTTAGCTGACTTGGAATTAATCGTCTCAACCTATTGTGGTCTTTCAAGTGTTAGTGTTCGTAGTGTATTTATAGGTTTCGGGCTTCATCACAGATTGATAGAGAACCATTGTAAACCGCCAACATAGAGTAATGTCAGACAGCTGTTTCGTCAGCCCAGTGTTGGACTGACTCGTTAGTAGTAGTATGCCACCACCCACCACCTGAGTTCGAACAACCTAGAACCTTCCAGTTACAAGTCAAGCTCGTTGCCGACCATTCAGGCATTACTGAGGATCCACCCGACTCAACACCCTACGTACGCATGATTTCTAACTTCTACGAATTTCTGATTTTAGCGTGACTGGTGGCATCAGTCAGCTTTGCAAATTAGTGTAGTGGTGGTTGACATGCTCTAACACTTCACTCCTTAGGCTATCTAGGAGTTGATGTATTCTATTCCTATAGTTTCATCTTACATATTTGACAGGAGCAAAATTCCATGCTAAACTTACGAAGATTTCCACTGAATGTGTCCAGAAGAGCTCATCGAGACATTAAGAACAAATGATACTGTTCAGAAATTGTAGTGATTCATTCACTCTATCTACCCACTTCCTCAATCCCGCCTCCTCTTTTTTCTCTTTATTCACAGTTGTACTTCCGATTAAGTTCCACTTTACCTTCTCTGGATCCAGAGATTGTATCGTTTAAACAAACACTGTTGAGTCAACTGAAAGTTGGTATGAATAAAAATGTGTCGCTGGATATTGTAAATCTTCCCTCAGTTATTCCTTCTGGTATCGGGGCTGTTGTCAATGTTGGTGGTGGAGTTCGTCAACTATTACCCTCACCTATTTCATTTAGTGGTGGTGGACGTCTCCAAGTCTCAAGTTATGTTGATCAGATCATAAAGCTGCTCAGCATCAATCCCCCACTACCAATTGATGTTTATGAGGTGGCTTTAAACACTGTCAAACACGACTGGATCAATCGGGCAAGATTGTTATATTCATTTAAACGATGCCAGGTAAGTCAATGTTGAAGTTATCGATTTATTTATCTGTTGATTGATGTAGAGCAATACGTTGAAGCGAACAATATTGTTTTCAATTGAATCTCATCAGGCTTAACTCTGAAATGTCTGCATAACTTTACAAATTATTATTAAAATATAAACCAATCATGATGATTTGTCGATAGTACAATAAGATTGTGCGCATATAAGTCGTGCAATTAATAATAATAATAACAATAATATTCATAATAATAATAATTCTATCAGTAACAAAGATAAAAAGTGAAGAGGTTTTCGATAACAAGAATAATGAAAAACAACATGATTAAACAAACAAATGTGTTCAGGTCGACGTAGTAGTCGATCAAAGCTAAGAAAACAAATGAACCGATTAAGTGATGCTAGATTGATTGTAAGGGAATTAGATAAAATACGTCTTAGTAAAGATGCGATTAGATTAGGAGGTGATAAGAGAGGGATCGAGAATACAAGTAAGGAGTGGTGGTGACGTCGTCAGTTGGTTAGGTCTTAATCAGCCAAAGGAGAGATAATGGCTGTACGAACTCCATTTGAATGCATAGTTTAGGCTTAATAGTTGTTGGAATGCCTATCGCCTAAGCTGTATATGCAGTAGAGGAATACGAAGTCTATTGGAAAGATTCAGCGGGATTTGATGAATGATCACCTTGAATGCTTTCGTTTTCTCCACTACATGACCACTACCCTGGTCCAGGTGGAGCTTTCTGTGGCCGACTGCCTCCAACTGTCATCTAATAAGGATAACAATTCAAGTGCACCGTGATAGCGAGCCACCTACTAGCATATTGACGATGGCGACTGATAGACTGGTAGAATTCAGTCTGCATCAACACTTGGAGGACTAAACACGCATGGCAACACTAGTTACTACATAGTGTTCAACCGAAGGATCACATAACGTGCGTAATTATTTGAATTACTGATTGCTGTTATTATTATTATTATTACTATTATTATTGTGATTATTTCGAGTGGTGCATAAAGGCGTCCATTGCTCGCAGTACTGGATTCTGATGGGACACCTTGAGTAGAAATCTTGGAATATTTTGGCATGTAACTCACTCCTGTCAAAATATGCGTAAGATGATGCTGTAGGACACTGGAATGGACTGGGCTTGATGATATTCTGACTCTCCTATTTAGTGATAGGCAGAAGGGGAGTGATGGAGAGAGAGTGTTGGCTACTACTTCACTTAATTGGGAAGTTGGTTGCACCAGTTCAAATGAATTGACTGATTCATGAAAAAATCTCAGCACGGAGACAACAAAAGGTGTTAGCCAATTTATGTCGACTCTGGCTACAATATTTGTTATCCGGATATCCTTTAAATGACATCTGCAGTGCACAACCGCATTTCGCCCTACCCTTCTTTGTGACTGTGAACAAGACGTTGCCGTTGAAAGTGGGCGATATGAAAAGTTTGAATAGTTGTTTTTGATGACAGATTTTAGTGTTTTATCTGTAACGACAAAAATTGACTCGTTGTTGTCTAAACCGATCTCTGCGTCCTACTGTATAGCTGTTCGAAACTTCCTTGAGACACACACACAGTCACAAGACGCACCAAAGATGGCAGCAAAAAGATGGTTATTCGCCGTTAGATAAGAAAGGCGAAATTTCCTCAACAGTTTCATCAGGCAACTGCTATACAGACAAGATATCTTCCTAAGTACAAAGCAAGTACTTTCAAACAACATTAGTTAACCAAAATTCACAATATAATATGAATATATTCGAACAGTGATATACAGTCTTGGAGAGGAAATTGGGTAATCATTACAGAGTTAGTTGAAACATCTAAATTAGTATGAACATTGTAATTAGATCGTTCAGGAGGGATTTTCCAAACAATTATTCCGTTATCTTATCCCCCGTGTTATGTCGTATAATACAGTGAGTAGTATTGAGACTAGGCGTAGAGCGCTCTAATTAAGCAAAGGAAGACAATCGTGATAAGGTTGTGAAGCAGATGCATCAATTGAGCAGATAGCTAGGACAACACGTGTTACGCATGCCACCTGGACAACCAATGTTAACTGCTGATATAGAATCAATATATGTGTAGAACGTGGGCACTGTGGTAGTAAGTAATTCCATATTAGTTTGTTTATTAGATGTATCACACAGTGAAACAGTATTATTTACCGGATGACGTTTCGAACAAAATTTATTGTTCATAATCATATCATCCAGTAAATAAGGCTGTTTCACTGTGTGATACATCTAATAAGCAAACTAATATACAATGACATAGAATCAAGTTGGTAAAAGGCTGACGGAGGGTCGTCAAACCAAAATTTGGCATCAGCTCATGAAATCTTTGACAGTCGGTTTTAGCCAGCCACCTATCTATTTTAAAACTCAATCAGTCAGCCATTAACAAAGTGATTTTAGTTTTGTCTGTTTTTGTCTCCTTGCATTTTTTTTCTCCTAGGGTCCATCTCTTAGCGGTGATGAAGCAACTCGTCGATGGGCAGGCGTGCTCGCATCAATAGGTTGTGCATCGCCAGAAAATGCAGCTGTCGCTAGATTTTGGCAAGGTGCACTTAGCCAACATTCACGGAATCACCACGTGTGTCATTTACGTAAACGTCCAACAACGACAACGTCCAATTCAACGACAACCTCACGACGTGGTTCATTCTGTTCAAGTAATGTTGATTTGAGTGCGCTATTTGCTGCGGCGACGAATATATCGAACACCTCCTCCACAATGACGGCTACCACGTTCAGCGAGTAGAGGAATCAACAAATAATTCGGCTGTAGTGAGAAGGCGCTTTTCGAATTCAATTTGAAAATGATACTCCTTCCCATCTCTGCTTCTCCTTCACATCTCGTGTGTTTTAAGAACCAGATCATGTATTGCTGTATATTTTTTCTAAAATATATTGTCTCTTTTCTTTCCCAACAATATCCTAAATCCGGTTATTTAATAGGCTCGAACACATCAGTAACTTTGAAACTAACAAGAAAGTGTGACTCGCCTCTCACCAGACACCCCTTTAAGACTCCTACATTTCTTTTAACACCTTTATTTTGTGAATACCACAGTTATTAACCTGCATTCACTGTTTTTCTCTGATTGTGGGTGTTTTCAAGGTCATTAGTGCATTCCTCCCTCCCCCCAGAGTTACGATAAGCAGATTCCAGCTCTTTTCTTGCGTCAGCTAGATTCCTACTAGTTGATTTCCTTTTGTGACGTTTAGTACGTTCGAGGGAGAATAAACCATGCAAAATATCAACAATAAAAAACCTCAAAAGAGTTGAGCTGAAAAACGAAGAACTGGTAAATCTTTTGAACTTGTGACAATATCATTTTGGTGTTCGTGCCTTTTTGAGCATCTGTTCTTTTCATGTGATTGTCACACGCGATTGACTGACTCACCGGTTGTATCCCTTTAGTTTTTTCCACGCATGAATTGGATTGTTGGATGAATTTTTTTATCTTTGTTGATCCGTCTGTTTTGATTGGCTCAATCGTTTTTCGGTTGTTGTGTACTGTGATCAAGAGTGAGAGGGGTCTTTTCCGTTAGCGACGTTGACATGTCTTTTCTTTCTGTATGTGGTCAGATACACATACTATATTGTCTAGTGACCGGGATTTAGTTATGAATTACGAGAACAAATATTTTTTCGATCAAGTACTGGTGATTGTTCACTGTGACAGATTTTCGGATCACTTGCTTGTGATTATTATTATGCCTGAGTCTCTGTGTTACTCTTACGACTTACCGACTTCAATTGATGATTTTATTGCAGTCCTTTAAGAGGTGGAGATAAATAGAGAGGTAAAGGGGCTCTGTGTGCGGTAGGGAGTTTTAGGGGAATGCTTCTGATTTGATAGATTGATTGATTTACCTCTGAAAACATACTTTATCTTACCTTATATACATATTCGTAAAAATTCTTCTCCTTCTTGGTGTATCTTTTGCGTTAAAATGTTAGGGTGTATCTTTTGACGACTTTACAGTGCTATTGACTTTTGCACAAATTATGTATTATTGGATTTTAGGCAGAAAGCTTTGTATGTAAATAAACATTTTGGTATTTGATAATCCGTCTTTTCAAGTGTTGTGTTTAAGGAGCATTTGATTTGTTTCAAATTTGATCAAGATCCAAATGATATCGGTTAGATAACCACTGAACAAACATCCACGGGGTTATACTGGATAGTTGTTTCGTAAGTCTAGAAGTCTGGGACTCCTATTCAGACGTACACACCCATTGAGGTTCGAAACACCCAACGTATCTATCTTCTGGTTACAATGCGAGCTCCTAAACCATTCAACTGAGTCCATTGGCCTATGTACACATTAATTCCAACCTCTACCGTTTCCTGGTGTTTATTGCAATAGGCGGCAAGTACTTAACATAGTATTGGTCAGTACTTCTCACTAGAACAGAACACTTCAAACAACTTCGTCCTCCTGGAGTTACATTTTCCAGGTTTAGATTGTAGGGGGGTGCAAGACTTTTTTATACTATGCTGGGGGTGTGTGGGCACCCCATTCTGGAGAAAAGCGGTTAGAAAAGGTTGACCTCAAAACTGTACATCCCGACGTATCCTACAGTGGTCCGTAGCTGGCTGCAAGTTAATAATACGTAACCAAACCAAAAAGCCAGTCCAGACGGGCCGTGTGTGACCGGCCTCAATCAGTTGTCCCGTGGGCTCTGCGGTCAGGTAACACTAAATCTTATTCTGTTTCAGATACCCTAAGAAAAAGTCAACTTCCACGGTGTGAGCAGCTGGGAAGAAACAAGCACCCACACTTCTAAAAGCACACGAAGTCCTCCTGATCATCATCCTCCTTTATCCCTGTCACCCTCATCATCTTCCTTCCCTACTATTGTCAGTACTATTTAGAAGGCTAGTGAGTTATCTTCATATTTGATCGTTTGACGTCAAGACCCTCTGCCCAATCGGACAGCAGCCATGACTAGCCATAACTCTGGCATTTCGAGCCATAGATGTATGTTGTGTTTCGGGGGCACGCATATATTCACTTAACCCAGCGCAGCCAACCAGGTGAATCTGCAAAATTCACCTTAAGGTGTGAGGAGACTCCTCAGCTGGTTCGCGGGAACTCGCAAGTGTAGGGATAGCATTGAGTGTTAGGGCGGAGAAACCACTTCTTGACTGGATCCCGGTAGATAGTCGTATGTGTGCTGTCCGTTAGAAGAAGGAAGGACGGTGTAGCCAGTGGTTGTCTTTTTATAGTCTCCGCTTACGTATCAACTGACTGCAATTTGAATGAACTAAAGGATGACTTCTACCAGAAACTGTCTAATTTGCTGCAAAAAAGCAGAACATTCAGATATTGTTGTTTTAGCAGGCGACTTCAATACCCAAATAGGGAAGTTATGCCAGACTGAGGAGTATATATGCGGTAGGTACGGAGTTTCCTGTTGACGAACCGACAACGGTGATCATTTGTTACAGTTCTTATCGGATAATTATCTGTTCCTAGTCAGAGCTAATTTCAAGCATAAAGAGAGATTGTATAACCTGGCGACCTCCACCGCCAAATCAACGTTGGATTGAAATAGGTCACATAGCGATAGGGTATCACTGGATAGGGTCAGTGGAAGACTGCTGCTTCTTCTGGAACACGTGCGTAGACTCCGATTACGCCCTGCTTTGCGTACGTTTATGCTTACAATTAAACGGACATAAGAAACTGTCAGCAGTTTTGCCCCAATTATATCGATACTCTGAGTCCCTATTTAAGGAAGAAATAGCGAGACAAGCATCTGAGGTCGACAACAGGACTCCCCGTGAGGTAGCCTGGCACAACGTACAGTTAGCTGTAGACACAGCGGTAAAAGCTGTTAATAACCTGAAACCTAAAGTTAGTAAGAGCGATTGGATTTCTGCCACCTCATCCGAACTGATTGACGCAAGAAGACTGATTCCGGCGAGCTCCGATTATGATGAGGAGCGAAAGCTGCTCAATCGCAAACTAACAAGAAGCCTCCGAAACGAACGTAAACAGTGGTAAGCGACAAAAGCTAAAGTGATGGAAAAGGCATTGGCGATTGGTAACACCAGACAACTATTTACACTTGTCAGAGAAACAGGTGGTAAAAGGCAAACGATAAGTGAAACAATCTCTGAGGAAAATGGCACCATAATTAGCTCCCAGGATAGACGACTAGAACATTGGAAAGAACACTTTGAGGAGCAGTTTAATTGGCCTACAGCCACACTCAACTTACCGAACATCCAAAACCTCCCTGAATATGGGATGTAGACACAGGTCCTCCATCCCTAACTGAGGTTACTAGCGCTGTCACTAATCTGAAACGAAGCAAAGCAGCGGGACCCAATGGAATGACTCCAGAGGCTTCTAAGGACGGTGATGGCATATTGTTTTCTGGGCTAATTAAGGTATTAGGCAACGCCTGGGAATCATAGATAGTCCCTTTGAACTGGTGTAAGTCATTGATTATTCCGATATATAAGAAGGAAGATGATGCTACAGGACTGGGCTACATCGAGCCCTAGTTGGCCTGAAGATAGGAAGTGAAGTCGGAGAGCGTGTTTACTACCACTTCAGTTATTTGAGGAGTTGCATCAGCACCAGAGTGTTGACAGCTGAATAAATCTCAGCAGGTATAGAGAAGGCTTGTTTGGCATTCGCCAAATTACACCACCTCTGACGTAGACGTGATATCTGGTTGGGTGCCGACCAAAGAATGTCTGTACTGAACAGAAGTAGCAGTTCGCTCCATTTTTATTTGTGGCTGGCTGTGAGCGAAACATGGCTATTGAAAGTGAAAGATATGTGAAGACTGGCTAGCCGTCTTTGATCATAGGTGTCTCCATTCTATCTCCCTTGTTAGGTGGCAGGTTTAATAGGGTGAGTTATATTGAGGTTAGGCATTTGTGGAGTGTTAGGTAGGTGGGAGGGGAAATCAATCGATCAGATTGGGAAGCAGCTGCATCGATTAAGATGGCTAGGACATGTGCTATGCATGCTAGCCTGGCCATAGCTTTCCTCGACGACCAATGTTAGCTGACATAGGATCAATGAGGTTGGAGAAGAGCTAGTAGTGGTCAAACCAAAACACGGAATTAATCCACGAAATCTTTGACAGTTAGTTTGAGCTAGCCATGTAGGACAACGTCGACTGTCTGACTAGTTGAGATCCTCGGAATGGTAATAAGCTATGTACGATATAGATAATTGGTGATACGGCTCAATGGTTGGCGCAGATGCATTCACTCCTTGAGATTTATAATATCTAATAAAATTCAATTGTTCTTACATATTGCTATTCTTGTTGCCACATATTTCTGTTTATTATCTATGTTTTGAATCTCTCTTTTCTCGCTATGTGCGCTCCATGGAGCGTGGCATCTCATCATTTCGATATTTAAGAGTAATCATAGAGAGTGACTTGTATACATGATAGAAAGTTTCCAAATTACTTCACTGTCAATACTGCGAAAGGTCCATTTCAAAGTTGACGAAGTTGAATTAGAGTGAGATTTGACTTCTATTCTATATCGTGCTCGATAATGAAACTCTAGAGTCGGTACTTAATCAACATACAATTTGCTTTTTCTGATTGCAGCTTGTAAATATAGAATACAAAAGAGTTGTGTTGTAGTCTCCTTGATGTTGGCGGTGATTTAAATACGAAACTTTTGTTTCGCTTCTAGACAGGCAAATATCATATCACAAAATCATGTGATCCACTGACTGATTTTATTCTCATTGGTCATCCTAACGATA